TTGATCTTGCATCCTAGCTCACTCCAAAGGTTATATAAGAAGGCTTAGGGGTCTCCTTTTTGTACCTTACCTTGAATCAATTGAATTTTGAGTTGATTTGCACTTTTGCAATCTTCTTTGAGATAGTATTCTGTCTCCAAAGTCCCTATTTTGGGTAGACCTTATCTTGCTCAAGCAAGTGGCGGTACTCCTTTGATGCTTATCTTGGAGATTCCTTCAAGTGGCGCATCTTCAAATCATAAGTTTCCTCTTCCTTAATCTCTTCCATTTTTAATTTCTTTCCCATTCTCTTAAATGTCATTTACTATATTCTCTCTAGGTATGCACTTCCCCATCACCAAGCCCAAAAAAGTAACGCTCAGCGGTACTAGCATTTACTATCATTTTATCTTTTTATCTTTTTATCTTTTCATCTATGCATCTTTCTATCTTTTCTTATTTTCATCTTTTCATCATTTTATCTTTTTATCTTTTTGTGTTAACAAATTTTTTTTAGGGTTTTGTGCCTAATGCTTGCAGGATGCAATTCAGACAAGAATTTAACTATATGGGCACTCAATTCTACCAAGGTAATCTGATAAAACTCCTAATAAGGATCATAAGGTGGGAAGTGCACATGGGCCTGTTACTCAACAAGGAACACTTATATAAGGAACAATTAGGCCAAAAATATGGAAGGTTTATGTTAGAAGAAAGAAAATGGGGTTAGAAAAGGAAAGAGAAGTTAGTTAGGATGGGGAATGACGTGTCTAGAATCGAGGGAAGGGAGAATTCTGTTATAGCATAGAGAAGGGAGAGTGTGGAGGAAGGAAGAGGTTGTGAGTTGGTTAGGAGGAGAATAATCCTCTAGAGGAGTCTAGGACTCTGGGTTTTCCTTGTGGCTGTAGAGCTTTCAGCTCAATCATCTTTTTACTGCATAACACTCTAAATAATACAACTTTGATATTTAGTAATTGTTTGGTTTCTATCATTGGTCCGACTTGTCGGATATCGAGAAGAGCTAGCATTGTTGTCCATGCCACCCAAAATGTCTGACCGAGTTGAAGCATTGGATGAGAGATTGTTAGCGATGGAAGTGTCAGTACGGGAGACGTTGGGGGAATTTCGCCAATTAATGTTGGAAGAGTTTACTAAGTTGCGTAATGAGCAAGTGGGAGATCGTCAAGAATCTCCATTTTCAGATAGGGATTCAGGGGCATAGTATATAATGGTAGCAAAGAGGGTGGAATTGCCATCATTTGATGGTACTGACCTAATGGGATGGATTACGAGGGCAGAGACATATTTTGAAGTGCAAGGATCAACAGAGGAGGTCAAGGTCCGATTAGCCAAATTAAGTATGGAAGGTGCAACCATTCATTGGTTCAATCTTCTACAAGAAGCAGAAGTTGGGTTGTCGTGGACCAAGTTAAAAAGGGAGTTGATCGGTCGTTATGGTGGTCGTACTAGCGATAATCCTTTCAAGGAGTTGAAAGATTTGTCCCAGACGGGTAACGTAGATGAGTATCTGGCAGAGTTTGAGTATATCTCCTCTCAAGTATCTCGTTTACCAGATGAGCAATATTTGGGCTATTTTATTGGAGGATTGCGATCGGAGATTCGACAGAGGGTTCGCACCTTCAACCCTGTGAATAATCTCTAAGCCATGTGCTTGGCTTGAGATGTGGAAGCAGAATATCAAGGAGAGGGATTTCAGCGTGGAGGAGGAGTACGAGGTTGGAAAAGCAATCGAGATTGGGGTACGGGTCAGGGAGAGAAGTTTGGATCTGGGTCGGGTCAAGGCCCAAATTTGGGGAAATTAGGAGTTGGGTTAGGCCCAACCCAGAGCATACAAACTAAACCTTTATCGGCAGTGGGATCAAGCCCTCACAAGTCGCGCTCTACGACACAAGGCAGTTGCTTCGGTGATCGTTTTCCGACCGCCAACCAAAATCGTGGCACGAAACATTTGCCTTACTCTGAACTGATGAA